ATTAATAAATGTTGTCAATGTAATGCTAATTTTATAATAAGTAATAGATGTGTAGATATATTTTTAATTTTAAAAAGCTTTCAAAAAATTACAAAAATAAGATTTAAAATTAAATTATTTGACAATAAACTATATATATATATAGAAGCACGTAAACAAAGTATTCATAAAACTAGTACATTTTGAAAGAAACTAGTACATTTTCTGAAAGCGCTTCAGTACGTTTTGAAATTTCATTGCAGCAACACTGCCACCAAGCCGTTTCCGGAAAAAGAGGTACGACTGTGTCCTACCTCCGGCTATTTACAAAGTATTTGGCGACAGACTGTTGCCTCTCTGTCGACATCGGCGTCACGGGTGTCGTTTCGACCTTCACCAAAGCTTATCTGTGCTTGTCGACATACATCGGCGATTGTTCGAATGTATAATAATATAACCAAATATTCAGACTTTCACCGACGTATTTTGTATGTGTCAACATTCACCGGAGAATATCGACATTCTCTAATTTCGGTCTTTAGTCCAACTAATTGAGATAAAAAAAAACAAAAACAATCAGCTTCACTCTAGAAACACCGACTCGAAACAAATCCAAAATGGCGACTGTTGCAATGCATCATAATATCGTGTCTTGACCAGATGTTTGTAAACCTTGCATCAAAACGAGCACGAACAATTAACGAAACGTAGTGTCGTTATTTAAACGTAAACAATGTACAGAAAGTTCGAGATACAAAACATCTGAAGTAGCAACAGACGTTACAATTCGCGTTTTTCATGAACTATAGAGGGCGCTGCATTTTTACAAACTGGCTACTTTATTTGGGTCGCTTGTAACTAGTAATGTAAAATTAATCATATATTACTGTCCGATATAATCATATATGCTGCCTCTGGCTGTTTATCGAGAAATTTTATACAAGGAGAACAGTTATTGTTAGCAAGACAAGTCATTATGTGGTATCGAAACAAACGAGTGAGATCGTTCTATACATATTTGTGCTTTCGTGTTAAAAAACATCAGCTTTGACATTGTCCCATCAGGGCCAGATTTACAAGTAAAAAGCCTCGACTTTCAAGGAACCTCAAACATTTGTACAAACAAAAAATTTTTGTCAGATTTTGTAATGAGCATTTTTTTACAAAGCGACAAAATATACTTCACTGTTTATACTGTGTAGTATTTCATTAATTCTTTTTTTTTTAAGAATTAACGTAAGGTCTTTTTAAAAAAATATTGATAAAACCAATTTGAAAAAAGATTTTTAATGGAATGGGTATAAAAATTTAATTAAACTTAGTTATAAAACAGAAGATTAGTAAAACCTCACGTCCTTTTCTTCCAATGTCCTTATTAAATCAGAGTCATAGTTTGATTTAATTTTTTTCTTTTTATGATCGACTTCTAAAATTGTGAAGGGTTGGTAAGGGGCCTTACAGAGTTCAGCTTAGGGCTTCGAAATGCTTAAATCCGGCCCTGGGTCCTACATAAAATTGCTGGCATTTTAAACTTTGACAGAATGTTTTAAAATTGATAGTATAACATAAAGCTGGACAATCGGCAAACTGCCAATTCTTAACAGTCTAATCCACTCTGTAAGAATTCAGAGAAGATCATAAACATAACCGACCGATTTTCGAATAATCATCTGTTTTTCCCGTTTTTCGTGTGGGAATAGACGAAAACTTGTATCAAGCTCTCGTAAAACTTTAAAATTGCAATTTGAAACCAACAGTAAGCGTTGCTTTTTCCATCTTTTTGCATATTTACTGCTTATAATACACAAGAATGAATCAAACGAACCAGATAAAATAGTTTTGTTTTTAAACACCAGAGGGCGAGCATCCGGTAAAAAATGCCAATAGCCATGGCCTGAAGTTAAAAGGCTGTAGTCTGGCAGTGTAAACAAACAAACTAGCGTGTTTGTCGCTTCGAAAACAATTCAAGCAACTGCCGAAAAAACAGTAGTTAGATTTAAATTAAATTTTTATAAATGATATCTAAGAAGGCCTGAAATCAAAGTCATTGATTTCGATCAAACTGGATTAGGTTATGTTGGATCAACAGCCACTGACATTTGCCAAGTATGAAATGCATCACCAAAAACCAAAAGTCGAAAAACCGGTTAATTAATTAATACCCTTATGATATCAGAAAATCTTCGGCTGGTTGGTGGCTCGTAGGAGCGCGGCAGTCACGTTCAAGTTCCAGGCCTGAAGGTTGTAGTTTCGTCCCCCTGTTAGGGATCCCTTTTGTAATTAATTTTTTTTCCGATTTTATTAAACTATGATTTTTAATTCATTATCAGAATTTTTATATTCATTATATTTGAAAAATATTTTCAAATATGAAAACAATTAGATTAATTAATTAATTTATAATTATTAATGCTAATAGGGGATGGCGCCTAACGTTTACCTCTAGAGCCAAAATGGTTAAGTAATTCATTTAGTAATTAGCCCTAAATTAGCCCGATAGAATTTCAGCATTTCGTTAATGTTTAGCTATTTCCAAATAATCATGTACATGTGAGGTTCGTGCATAATTGTTACTTGTTGTAAAAGACAAAATATAAACAGTACTAGTAGTTCGGGAGGCCCCCTAGTGAACGGTCTAGCAGCAGCGGTGTCATTAAAGTTTTGTTACAGAGTCGATTATCTTACGCAAAGGATAATCGGTCGTTCCCAAACATACTGGTACAGTCGACCTCCCTATAACACGGTAGATACGTTCCTGTTTTTATGAATCCAGCTTCTAGGAGTCCAGCCAATCACAGCCCGGCACGTTTGCAGTTTACGGACTACGGCTGTTTTAAAGGTTTCTTTCATAAAATTAATCGAATCTAGACTAATTGGACTTAACATTTCGAAAACACGTATAATTTTTTAGAAATAATCCATATAAACTACGCTATGAACAAAAAATTGTAGGATTACTTACCGAGTGTGCACCGTTCGACTACGCCGTTGTTTAAGCTTGTTTTCCGTAGTGGAGATTGTCATCGAATTGCGCTCGCGTGCTTCCTGATAAATAATTTTTTTTTTTTTGCGAAAAATTCGCTGAACTTTAGAGACATCATTAATATAAATATAATTTTTATGGACGTTAAATAATAAATGGTTTTTAGTAGGTCCACTGCTCGTTTAAACTCAACGGTTTGTGCAATCCTGTCGCGACACGAGTCGGCGATGACATTTTACCGAATTATAGGAATTTTTTTAGGATGTTTGTTCGAATACTGTCGCAATTTTTTCACCGTGACATAAGAATCCGAACTATAGGAACCCGTGTTATAAGGGAGTCAACTGTATTTATTGCTGAAACGAAGTTGAAAATTATAGCTAAGCAAAAACATTCAAGTAAAAAAAACTACTGAAAGTTGTGGCATAAGAATAGTTATTTCCGATTTACAGTAAGGCTCAACACGAAAGTAAAGTGCCCATTACACAGACTACAGCTACATAAGATTTTATATTGAACAAAGTTGCCATAATAATAAATAATATAAATAATAAGGCAAATTAATAAATGTCAATATTTTAAAATAATTCTAAATATTCCAAATCTGTTTAAAATATTAAAATTTATCTTGAAATGTATTTTCTATTTTAGTTCTGTGCTTTTACTTAAGTTAATTAAAAAACCATTTGGTTACCCAATGATAAGTTACTCGATCGGTAATTCTATTTTTATGAAAATATTTGTACACTATATTGCGTAGTCTATCAAAATATTACTCACATTTATATCCGAAGCAATTATTTTCAAGGAATGAAGCAGGAAAATCGCAAAAGTTTCTGTTTCGCATTCAAAAATCGCTCACTTACAACAATAAACTGAAACAATAAAAAAATGTATAGTTGCCGATATTCTTGATTTTACACGTGACAATGAAACGAATGAAGTAAAATTAACTAACTTTTTTTGGCATTCGATGCATATTTATTGACTTATTCCCGTTTCATCGATGATTATTTTTTTAAAAACTTTTTCTAACATGTAAAAACAGATTTGTAACTTTTTTAAAAAGTCCATTAAAAATTTAAATGAACTTATGGAATGCTCCTATTGGCGTTCTAGGCATTCCGTTACAGATTACAGATATACAAAAAAAAAATCAATGTCTAATATATATACAGATGTTAAATATGTATATATATATATATATATAGAATGTTTTAATTTCAATTACTATATATAATTTTAAATTTTATAATGGGTTTTTAGTCTACAAACAATATTATAGCGTTTATACTCTTTACTAAATCTGTTAAACTAATGTTTTTGTTTTTGTGTTTAATAGCTTACATAATGTCTTTATACAACAAGTCAGTAAACTAGAACTTTACCACAAACAGTACGTAGACTAGTACTGATCTGAAAACCATGTTCTAATGTAATTCAAACAGGGTTAATTAAAATTACTTAGATGATGAAAACTTCGGATATTCTATATTAAGTGTTAAATATAAAATCAGTTTACATACTAAATTTTCGTTTTTATCTAACATAACATATTTAAAAGGAATCTCTGTAAGTAACTTAATACTGTATTTTCCAATTTCACTAACAATGTTATTTCAGAAAATGTAACGTGTTCACATAAATGATAGTATATGTTTTACCGCTAAAGCTCGAAATCCGTTAATGTGCGCATTACATAGCTAATCTGCAGATTAACTAGGGTAATCCGTTAAAGCTGCGAAAATTATTCCATTTCTCAGATTATCTAGGTAATCTGCAAATTACCTACTAGGCACTCGGTAAAGTGAAAATAACTAATGTTTTTGTTTTTGTGTTTAATAGCTTACATAATGTCTTTATACAACAAGTCAGTAAACTAGAACTTTACCACAAACAGTACGTAGACTAGTACTGATCTGAAAACCATGTTCTAATGTAATTCAAACAGGGTTAATTAAAATTAATTAAATGATGAAAACTTCGGATATTCTATATTAAGTGTTAAATATAAAATCAGTTTACATACTAAATTTTCGTTTTTNACATGTGGAATTAAATATAAACTTAGATATCATTTTATAATTTGTACAGCTTACCATATTGTCTTTCATTCACATCATAATTTATTAAAACGTAAGTAAAATGTAAATTAAAGTTCATATTTTAATAGTAAACAATATTTAAACTTAAAATTTTTACAATTCTGATCATAATTACACAAACAAAACCTGAAAACAAAGTTGTAAATTAAATATATAAAAAGGTATTTTTGAAATAAATTACATTACATAGAAAAGAAACTCTATTTACAAACTGTTAATTGTATTCCATACATAAACTTATATTTATAATATTTTCAGATGAAATAATAAATCATAATAAAAATTTCTGAAAACTCTGAAGAAAATATCTAATAAATATTCCTTTGATTATCATCATATTGTATGTCAACAATCAGAAAATGTTTTTATATTTTTCCATTCTGCAAATTTTTAATTTATCTGCCTTATTGGCTGGAAGAATGTAATTTATCCAGTTTCCTAGTGACTGGAGCAGTTGACTACTCGTTCGCCTTCTCTTGACTTTGATTATGATGCGTCTGTTGCTATTTTGAATATAGCAACTTGCTTTCGGATAAATTCCACACGCCAGATATGGGTGAATACGGATGCCGTTGTTTTGTTTCTGATGAAAGCTTTTGTCATTTCTTTGTTTGGTTTCATGCCAAATTCTACACGTGACTATGATGACTTTCTGTGTGAAAATTCTAGCAATTTTCCACTAAAACTTACTTTTGCATTCTGCCAACTCCTAATCGGCATTTCAGTTGCCTTTGTGTGCATTGTTTACAATCCAATACCAGATGGTATGTGGTCACACAAGACCAGACATAACTTTCAGTTTGGCTGGGTATTCGCTAAAATCCATAAACTGAATTTAGTATATAGATGTACAGTTTTGATATTTTCTTACAGAATTTTTATCTCATCAGATTTTTTTTTTCATTTTTCATTCTTCCCAATGGTTGCTAAGCTATTCTTGATGCTCACTGTGGGTTCAGCTAGATACACTATGATGAGGAATGGAGCTTTGTATATCTGGATCATTCTGTCCCTGAAAATTTGAACTTAGCCAGATCTGAACTAAGTTCCCTAAAGCAGAAAACTAGTGTTTCTACTTTTTTGGTCATCTACCTTTTTTCCCATCTATTGTCACTTATTGAAATTGGGCCTGTTGGAGGGCAGTGCAAATGGCGTGACCTCACGAGGCCCTGCAATCCTATGTGATCCAACCTGTAAAATTAAAAAAATTGATCATTCATTATTTACTAATTTAATGTATTTTCTCTAATCTATGTAATGGATGGTATGTTTACCATTAAAATATTATTTTGTTGTTTGACACTGTTTTTTTATTATTATTAAAAGGCCCCACATGACAACTTTGCACCGGGTCCCACTTTTTTCGGATTAGCCTTGATTGAATGATATAGAAAAATTATTAATATTAACTAAATTACTCACATTTCATTGCTAGAATGTTTCATGAATATAAAAAATTTAACAATATTTAATGAAACAATATTTTTGTAAATTCAATATATCTTAATTATATACATTTATCTTTGCAAACAAGTTTTTTTAAGTATAATAGTATAATAATTGTATAATATTAAACATATTCTTTATTTTAACATATTATCGTCATAACCCATACACTGTATAATAAGTTGGTGAATAAAATATAGAACAATAACTATTATTATCAGTTTTACATTTGTTTCTGATGATAATAGTTATTATTCTACATTTTATTCACTGTTTTCTATATATAATATGTATATAGATCTGTGTTTATGTATGTGTTTTAATGAATCTAAAAATTCTAATAAATACTAAAAATACTACTATAAATGGAACATATACTTTAAAAATATTATTTGGAGTATTTGGTAAGGAATAAAAAATGAAAAAAAAAAGTTGAGATAATGGGTCTTTTATATTAGAGACTGCAGAAATCTATTTTGTGAAACTATTTTAAATCATTTATTGAAAATCTTTATAGAAAAGTCATGTTTTTAATTTTTATATACAGGATGAGTCAGTAGGAAATAAGTTGAGAGATGATAGTATGGGTCATTGTAAGCAAAAAACTTTGTATGACATGGGTGTTAGTCTCTTTAGTTTTGGAGATACAGCTGTTTGAAAGTTGCTCACATACATAATAATAATGAATGTGCTATATTCACAAAAAATGCTCAAAAATTGAAATGTGAACCTCGATACTCTTTACAATTGAACTTTGCATTCCTCCTACTATCAGTGTGGTCAACATCTGGAAGATGGTGTGATGCAACTGAAATTTTGCCAAACATGGTCATCACTAAGTAACTCAAAGAAATGACACATCATCTTCAGACAGAAGTTGGAAAGTGTGTTGAGGTTAATAGTTTAATTTTTAAGAGTTAGTTGAACACATATCTATCATTCATTACTATTGTGTATATGAGCAACTTTTAAATAGCTGTATCTCCAAAATTACTGAGAATAATACCCATGTTAATACCCATTATAAGTTTTTTGCTTATAATGACTCATACTATCATCTCCCAACATACTTGCCTCTCTTCTTACACCCTGTGTGTGTGAACATATATATAACTGTCCACAAAAAACCTTTATATATCAGTGTTGTGTTTGTTACAATATCCACTAACATTTTCGATCTCCTTCGAGGTCTTCTTCAGGTGCTGACTAAGTGGTGTCTCCCCTTGATCATTAGAACGATGTCGTCTGAGTTGTAGATATTGTGCATATCACGTTTCACCCCTCTGCTTGTCCCTGTTCGAATTCCTTGAATAGGTATCTCCATGCCTGTGCGATCGTCTCTCCATCTTTAAAGTTGATACGGGTGCCCCCAACATTGGCTTTATAGATCTCCCAGGCCTCCAGGTGACAGATGTGGTCAATTTGAAATGCCTGTCTGATTAATTTGGTGTTCAGGAAGTCCACCCGAATTTCAGGGTCGCTAATGTACGCCGTCAAGGTGGTGGTGTGCCTGTTATTTTTAATGTCTGATTGATGCTTGTGTAACCATTTTTGTGTTGAGAGCACGGTAGAACCAATATAAACTAAGTTTCTTTGAAATCTATCATCTTTGATGGGAATGGAGTATACCCATGGGGCTCTGTTGAGATCTATCACATCTTGAGCATTGTGCAGCAGGTTGTAAATAGTGCCGGTTCTCCTGTACGCAATCTTCGTGTGATTATGGCTAGCAATCTCTTTGTATAGGGGGTCCAAATGTTGGTTGAACCGGACCAGCAGCCCGTTAAGAATGATAGGTGCATGGTCGTTCGGCTATTTTATGTTTTCAGCATAAAATAGCTGAGGTTTTCAGCTTGTTTGCATAGACTTTGTCTTTCAGATAGTTCTAAAGAAAAAAATCTGGAATTGTTCGATATAAGTTAGTGAACATGATAGCCATCTCAAGTCACCATATCTTGAGATAACAACAAGGTGATTATTTTTGTTCCATGCTATATAGTTTTCCAAATTAAATTTCAAAAACTTCAATTTTTAAATAAATAAAAGAAGAAAGAAGAGAAAATTTAAAATATTAAAATATAAAAAATTATAATATTTTAAAATGTGTTAGGGACTTTCGTGTTACACTGTGTAATGAATTGGTAATATAATTGGAATGAGTTAAAAAATAACTCATTTTATTTTATGTTTCTTATTCATAAATTTTTAATATTTTAATAAAATAATAGAAAAGTGTCTTTAGAAAATATTTTGAATGAAACAAAATTAGTTGTATATTTAAGAAAAAGACAATGTTTGTATTTTATTATAAAAATTTGGTTTTATTTATATTTGAATACTAATATATTGTATTTATCATTTCAGAATTTTTATCTTTGTAGATAATTTTAAATTGTAAATAATGAGAACTATTACTATTGAAGAACTTTCAAATCTTCAAAAAAATCCTCATAATATTAGAAATGTTTGTATATTAGCTCATGTTGATCATGGTAAGATGTTTTAATATATTTTATTTATTATCATTATATATTTAAATTTATGATATTTATAATATAAAAAGGACTTATTTTAAATCACACATACTTTAGAATTTTGTGAAATAATATGCTATAAATAGTTAAATTTTACATAGGAATAAATTTAAAAATATCTGAAACAAAATTATAATTACTGTAATTTTGTGCAGATAACTTGCAGTGGCATACATATAACCCACAATAAGTTGCTAGAATAGAAAGAAAATCTTTACATATCTATGGCTATTGAGAGCTTGTATGAGAGCCAGGAATAGAGCAGGTCTTTTTTTTTTTTTGAACAAATGAAATACTGTGCATAGAATGTTTCTTTATTAGTCTTCAGGATTTTATTTCCAGCTAGTAAAAGTAACATTAATTTTATAGGACAAGAATCACTATGGATCCCCTAAGTTTTCTGTGGACCTAGGGAAAAATTTTCAGCTTCCCTCTCAATGGTTCTGTATGTAATCCACATCAAAATATACACTCCATGCCTACAAACAATTGCTGGTATATAGTTTAGAAGATATCATCTCAGTCATTTCATTTATTTTAGCAGTTTAATATAGATGTAATTATAAATAAGTGAAATGAAGAAAAAAAAAAAAACCATTTGGAACAGAATTGCCTCAAATGCATTATGTCAAAAATACAAAATGGCTATTAAATAACAATAATAATTATAACAGAAATAATAAAATTACTGAAAAACTTAAATAGAAATGGTTTTAATGTCAAGAGTATCTGTAAGATATCTCAGTCCTAGATGGCTCTTGAAATAAGTCTGCAGTGGCAATTTAACTGGTGTGGCTCTTGGCAAGAGTGATTGCTCTCCAGATGTAGAATAAATAAAAGTAATGAATAAAATACAGTAAGACCCTGCTTAATGCTGCCTCGCTTAATGCTGATTCAATATAACGTGGTCTGCTTGAAGCCTAAAAGAAGCTCAAAATTTATGCCGATTTAAGTTATTGTGGCATTTCATTGATTCATATATAACACAATTATTTGCAAACACAAACCAATTAGCAAAAGGTGGCAGAGGTATACTTTCTTTAAACCTATGTTTGTTTGGTGCAATTTTGGGAAAAATATAACATCATGGATGCCATAGGAAATATCAACTTTGCTTGACAAGAATTAACTGATAAATGCACAAATGAAGTGTGGAAGAAGTTATAGTGAAGGTATCCAAGAATTCTCAATGAGAAGAGCCTATCACTGTATCGTTAAGTTGATGAAACTCAGCCTAATCGATACGGCAGGACTAGGGGATATAGACAAGCAGGATATTGAGGAATTACAACAGGTTTCTGGTGAGAGCCTTACCAACGATGACCTTCAAGAACTGGCAGAACACATTTGTGTGAAACTGGAAAATAGAGATTCTGAAGACAAAGAACCCAAAATATTTCTCTACAGATTTCCTTAGTAAAAGTTTGATCGTTGATCAAATTGTAGCGAATGATCCAGATTTTGAAAGAAATGCAAAAGCAAAACAAGGTGTTTTGCATCCAAAATGCCTCATTTTGCTTTTTCACTCCTTTCAAAATCTTTTGCACTCTTTTGCACTCCACATTTCATGACTGTATTGCAAAAGAACAAGAATTTTAGAAAAGTCAGGACCTTCACCACAAAAAATGAACTTTACATTTCTGTGTGCATATGTTTATGTGTTATTTAATATACTGTATATTATTATACAAATTAATATAAAAATAACTTAAAATTAAAGTAAAATTTGTTTATTTTTGGTCGCATGTTTCCCTATCCCTATTTACTCCATGTTAAAATGATCTCATTTAATGCTGTTTTGCTTAGCGCTTTGTTCTGTAGGAACACAACCCCCGCTTAAGCAGAGTATTACTGTATTTTACTACTAATGACATTATTTTTGATTTTACTAAGAAACTTTCATGCAATATCAAATGACATTGAACTTGGTTCTTATTTACTGTAAATGACTAACATGTATGAAAATTAACAACTATGTTCATTTCACTAGTAATTAATCTAAATAGTTCACTGGGAGCCATTATTAAAGCTGGGATATCTAGGCTTTAGTGTCTAGATGTCCTAGCTTTAGTCATTATATAGAGAAGGAAAATTAATGAAAACTTATAAGCTTTCAAGATAAGAGTTTGAGTAGGAGTATGTAATAATATCAATTATGGCTGGATTCATGTACAGTCATACCTTGGTTTATGAATTTAATTCATTCTTAAAAGTTGTTTGGAAATCGATTTGTTCTCAAACCAAAACAAATTTTCTCATAAGAAACCATGCAAAATGGATTAATCCGTTACTGACCCCCAAAACAAAGTCTTTTTTTTTTTAAATCTTTTTAGCTATATTGCATCCATAAAAATGTATACAAATACAATATATTATTATCTATATCTACATTTAGTCTATATATATATATTAAAAGCAAAATGTTCTGTCACTGCCAACTGAAACTGAAACTAACACTTTACAAAAAAGTGCCAAATAGAGATTCAACTCTGACTGCCTGCATGAAATATAACTAAATCAATCAAGACAGTCAAGTACTTTATCCACACTTTCCAAAATATTATTTTTCAATTGATTTGATTTCAATTTTAATTTAAATTAATTAATTTTTATTTTATTTATAATATTTATAATATTTTTATTATTATTATTTTAGTTTCGGTGTAAAAATGAGAGTTTTAATTATTATTTTTAGTTTTAATTAACTGGCTATCTAGTATTAATAAATATTAAATTAAATATTAATATTGTAATATATAATACTATTAAATTAATTAAAATATCTATAACCACAAGGCAGATAATAGTAAGGGCTTATCACACCAATGATAATGGGCACAAACACTCAGGAATCAAAGAAAAAACATTTAATAAAATGAAAAGGGATGTACAATAAGATGATTACATAAGTATGGAAATCGAAAATCATCTTATTGTACTTTATTGTATATCTTATTATATCTTATGTAATCGTCTTATTGTACACTCCTTTTCGTTTTATTAAATGTTTTTACTTTGATTCCTGAGTGTTTGTGCCTATTATTACTGGTGTGATAAGCCCTTACTATTATCTGCCTCACAGTTATAGCTATTTTAATTAATTTAATTATACCTAGGGCTAAAAGCAATTTCTGTAATAATTTTATATAATACTATATTAATAAATTTCTGTTATTTAATTTAAGTTAAGTGCATTTAAACACAGATTTTTTGTAGATGTCATTTATATTATGCAAATGTCAATTAATGCATTTTTATTAATTAATTTGATTTAAATTGAATTGTAATGCGTACCAATAAATGGAAGTAATATCTTACCTGCATGTACATTGAAATTTAATTTGAATAACAGTTTCATCAATGATTTGTGTTATAACATTTAATGACACCAGGCGATCTCGTTGCTACTAACTTATGAATCAGTAGTCATGTCATTGATTGGTTGGATCGTCAACTTTCTTGAACATAGGAAGTATAGAGAGTTGCTCATTTGTGGTTGGCTCTTCTGAGTAGCTTGTTCAGAAACTGAGTTATCATATGGCAACTGGAGCAAATATGGCATTCAAAATTTTGTTTCTAAACAGGGGCGTTCATAACTGAAAGTTTGACCATACAGAAAATGATCAGGAGAGAACTAAAAACAAAACATGTGCCAAAACTGACTGTCTCATATAACCAACTGATGTTATAATATTTAAGATATTTCATAGCACAAATTTCATACATTTTAGATTGTTTAATGCTGTTGTAATTGGTGGCCCTTTTATTTAGAGATGACTTGTAAATCTCGAGACTTTCCAAATGCTTTAGGTAGACTGTCCCCCTTACTGTTGTTAAGAGATTGGCTTCCCTGAGGTTGACTTGTATGGGTTTGGGAGTCTACTGTAACAAACTTCTAATGAATAAAGCTTGTTTCTGGAAACAATCAAGTATCTGACTTGATTGTTTAAAGAAATTTATGTTTTATATTATTTGTTTTATATTTATAAGAATTTGTAATAAAGAGTATTATAAAAAAATTTGTTTTATACGGGAGTAATTCTTTCTATTATATGATGATTATTATATTACATCATTACAATGTATTATTTTTTCATATTTTCTAAACAATATGATTTTAAAATAAGATTTAATAATTTTTACAATATTAAAAGTAAAATTTTTTTGTAGGAAAAACAACATTAGCAGATTGTATTTTAGCCAGTAATGGCATTATTTCTCAACGAATGGCTGGAAAGGTAATTATTCATTTTCAGTTTTCAATTAATGTATATTGAAAGATTTTTAATTGATTATTAAATTGAGTTACATATTTTTGATTAGTAAGAAATACTTTTCTTAAAAGTTTTAAAATGGTTTATATTCTAATCATTTTTTTTTAAAATTTGCTATTAATAAAATTATAATGTGGCTTTTAAATTAATGGTGATTTAAGAAGACCATCCTCATTATGCAGTTTCTCATGGATTCATAAATTTTCATCATTATAATTGCACAAATTTGGTGATTTCTTAGCTAATCATTTAAATTCTATGTAAATAATTAGCTAAGAAATTAAATTAAATTCTAAAATACTACATTTACAATAAAAAATACTATATTTTCTCTTGTTAATTTAAGATAATGCTTGTATTCTTATGAAGTTTATGTAAGAATATTCTTTTAAATGACAAGATATTTTTCATTCTAAATTTAAATTTTTATAGAAATGTTTCATAAGTCATTAGTGTTTGATTGTGATATAATTCAGTAAAACCTCAATTTAACAGACTAATTCAAGTGAAGTGCATTCATTAAAGCTAAAAATCCATTATATTATAAAGTAGGTTATTTGAATGCAAGTGTTAAAAAATTGACAAATTAGATAGTTTTTCTGCTTTTACTTATGTAGATATGTTTTGTAATTAAAATTAAGTATGTATGAGAAGTTTAATTTTACAGAAAAGTTATCTAAATGTATTGTTGTTTATATACTCACCACAGTTCTGAGACTGTAATAAACAAGTATATGATCAGAATTGAAATAAATAAAGAAACTTTAATTGTATTTAAATAAAGAAATACTGTAATTGTATTTAACCTATCAAATAAAAAAACGATGTTTTTAAAAAGAAAACAAAATTTAAATCTGACAAAAACACAAAAAAGTTTCTTATTTATTTGTCTTTGGATGACAATACAGTGGTACCTCAGGATACAAAATTAATCCATTCTGAAACTGAGATTGTATCATGAAAATGTTATAAGGTGAATCATTTTTCCCCATATGATTACATGTAAAACCAAATAATTCATTCCAACATGAAAAATACACTCAAATTAAAGCTAAATAGTACATTAAAAAAAATAATTATAGTAAGGAAAACACTGAAAAATGCATTTTGTAGTTGTAAATGTATAAATAATCATAACAGAATNTTCATCATTATAATTGCACAAATTTGGTGATTTCTTAGCTAATCATTTAAATTCTATGTAAATAATTAGCTAAGAAATTAAATTAAATTCTAAAATACTACATTTACAATAAAAAATACTATATTTTCTCTTGTTAATTTAAGATAATGCTTGTATTCTTATGAAGTTTATGTAAGAATATTCTTTTAAATGACAAGATATTTTTCATTCTAAATTTAAATTTTTATAGAAATGTTTCATAAGTCATTAGTGTTTGATTGTGATATAATTCAGTAAAACCTCAATTTAACAGACTAATTCAAGTGAAGGGCATTCATTAAAGCTAAAAATCCATTATATTATAAAGTAGGTTATTTGAATGCAAGTGTTAAAAAATTGACAAATTAGATAGTTTTTCTGCTTTTACTTATGTAGATATGTTTTGTAATTAAAATTAAGTATGTATGAGAAGTTTAATTTTACAGAAAAGTTATCTAAATGTATTGTTGTTTATATACTCACCACAGTTCTGAGACTGTAATAAACAAGTATATGATCAGAATTGAAATAAATAAAGAAACTTTAATTGTATTTAAATAAAGAAATACTGTAATTGTATTTAACCTATCAAATAAAAAAACGATGTTTTTAAAAAGAAAACAAAATTTAAATCTGACAAAAACACAAAAAAGTTTCTTATTTATTTGTCTTTGGATGACAATACAGTGGTACCTCAGGATACAAAATTAATCCATTCTGAAACTGAGATTGTATCATGAAAATGTCGTAAGGTGAATCNTTAAAAAATTGACAAATTAGATAGTTTTTCTGCTTTTACTTATGTAGATATGTTTTGTAATTAAAATTAAGTATGTATGAGAAGTTTAATTTTACAGAAAAGTTATCTAAATGTATTGTTGTTTATATACTCACCACAGTTCTGAGACTGTAATAAACAAGTATATGATCAGAATTGAAATAAATAAAGAAACTTTAATTGTATTTAAATAAAGAAATACTGTAATTGTATTTAACCTATCAAATAAAAAAACGATGTTTTTAAAAAGAAAACAAAATTTAAATCTGACAAAAACACAAAAAAGTTTCTTATTTATTTGTCTTTGGATGACAATACAGTGGTACCTCAGGATACAAAATTAATCCATTCTGAAACTGAGATTGTATCATGAAAATGTTATAAGGTGAATCATTTTTCCCCATATGATTACATGTAAAACCAAATAATTCATTCCAACATGAAAAATACACTCAAATTAAAGCTAAATAGTACATTAAAAAAAATAATTATAGTAAGGAAAACACTGAAAAATGCATTTTGTAGTTGTAAATGTATAAATAATCATAATAGAATAATAATTGATAAGAAAAATGTAGTTTTATTTGCACTTTACCTTTGAGGATAGATGATGGTGGAGGTGTAAACTGGTGGCAGAAGACAGGGAGAAGGGAAATGATACTAAAACTTAACTTACATAACATAATGTAACAATAACTTAAAAATAACTTAGAAAAGATAAAAAAAAAATTAGTGTTGTTTTATATATATTTTTAAAAATTTTTATTCACTGCTTTTTGCTTTCTTTCCTTCACTTCCACCAGCACTTTCACTGGATAGAGGTCGCTTGGTAAAATATCTATCCAAAGAGGTTTGGCTTTGCCTACTTTTTAAAATGTTTCTAAAATGACTNACAATGAAATGACATTAAAATACATGTTTTAATAAAAATTATATCATGAAAACTGATGTTACTAAAAGTATAATTTTTTACAATATTTTCGTTGAAATAGTATTTAATATGAACAATTAATGTAAATAAGGCTATTGACTTAACTAATATTTTTCATTATATTTTCCTGTAATTAAATATGTTATGTTATAATAACAATTAAGTTGTTAAATGAATTTTATTTAATCAATGTATAATTATTAGTTTTAGCCATTATAAAATATTTTAATAGAAATTAAATATATTTTAGGAGAAGAAGACTATTTAATTAATTTAATTGATTCTCCTGGACATGTTGATTTTTATGGTGAAGTTTCTACAGCAGTTCGTTTATGTGATGGTGCAATTCTTGTTGTTGATGTTATTGATAGTGTTTGTGCTCAGGTTAGTAAACAGGAATTTAAATTTTTGTATTATATGTATTCTCTATTACAGATGTATGATGATAATTCATTTGACTGTAAATGAACAAGAAACTAGCATTAAAATATTTTTCATTTCATAACAATAACAAATAGTAATTTTAAGAAAAAATTGATTGCATATTTTACATAATCATTTGAAATAAAATTTTCAGACTTCTAGATATGGTAAAGCTGTATTTGAATTTTTTTAATTTAGATACAACTGTCAAACTGATCAAAGACATTTAGATTATTCAAAAAATGTGCAATTTCTGAATTTATCCTATAGTCCTATTAAAACTATTCTACAATAGATTTTATTACATTATGTTTCATCAAATCCATTGTGGCATAAAGTTAAGAGTGGTGACTCTTGGATTTAAAAAAAAAAATTACTTGTTAATTTAATTACATATAAAAAAACATTTGAAAGTTAGCAGGGTGTTAATTTTCACCTATGACATATGGGCATAAAATTTTTTCTATTAAATTCAAAGATTGTTAAATTGAGGTTTTACTTTAATACAATTACATTATAATTTAAATTAATAAAATAAATTATTAATGTTAACATCAGAATGATTAAAATGTAACATCTTTGTCTGACTTATGCACATATTATAAAAGAATTAGACATATATACTCCATTTAGAATGGCAGAAATTTCAGAATATTCTTGAAATTATAGTTGAATACTTTTTTTGAGAAACAATTTCATTATGCCTATAACTTGATCAATTGTGATGAAAATATTGTTTTCACTCTTGAATGGAATATAAAAATGTTTTATTAAAAAACATTTAATGAAGTTTATATGGCTTAGAGTATTATTATAAAATCATAAAATTGTTTGTTTCATTGATTTAGATCACTATTTATCTAATTAATTAGTTCATAGTATTCTTAAAATCAAATTAATTAGTTAAAAAGTCATGAGAAATAAATTTGATATTTAAACTAATTGTGAAAAATAAATTTTATTTAAATAACTATTTAACATAAATGTCTAAATAACTATTTTTTCATGAATTTATTTGAGTTTCTAAAAAATTATAATTTCAAAAACAGAAACAAAAATCTATAAACTATGTCTATGTTTTCTGTTTGTTTAATAATGAATATAATTAGTATTGTTATTTTTTAAAAATGTTGATATATTTCAGATAAAAAATTTATTTGAAATGAAATTTATTTTTAGTTTTATATAAAATTTCTATTGTAAATTTATTGAAAATTATGATTTTGCTTATTTAATTTATACTGTATAGTCTAATAATTATTTATTACTATATGATTATTGTATACTTTTTAAAAACTATTCCAGTTAAGATATTTGGATAGCCGCAAAGATGAACAAGAAAGGGGTATTACCATGAAATGCAGTTCTGTGTCTATTCATCATAAGATTGGTAAATTTAATATAAATGATAATTTCCTATATTATAAAATAATTTTTTAAATGGCAACATATTTTTTGAAAAATATCCTATCAGATGTTTAAGTATTACTCTTTTATTAAAAAATAAAAGAGTAATACTTTAATTTAGAAACTTTAGTAGATTGATAATAATGTTAATTTTTATATTAAAATATTGGTTATAATAAAAAATTTAATAAATGCATTTATTTAATCTTCTTTAGAATGCTATTTAATTCTCAAAATTTTAACATGTTTTTTAAATGTGTTCTACTATTAAAAGCATTAAAATGTTAAATAATTTGTATATAACAACAAATTCAATAACCTGATTATTAATTAATGCTAAACAATCTGCAGGATTTTTCAGGCTATATTAAGACTGGTTTAGATAGATAATTAGATATAAATTATTAAACTAGCCTTAATATAGCTTAACAGATCTAGCAGGTTGTTTTTGGCTTTGAATAATTTTGTATTTGATTGTAAAAATGTTATTCAAAAGTCAAATTTAAATTCAATTTTATAAAATTATTTTAGAATAATTATTTGAATATTTTAATTATTTCANGCATTTGATTGTAAAAATGTTATTCAAAAGTCAAATTTAAATTCAATTTTATAAAATTATTTTAGAATAATTATTTGAATATTTTAATTATTTGAACTAAAACTTTTTGCTATTGCAAATGAATTATGTTCACTACATGAAAAAAAGTATACTGAAAATATACATAACAAACTTATGATACCAAAACATATATTTAAAATAAAAAGTAAAATAATAGATTTTTAAAACAGATAATTAATAAAAAAATGGTAAAGTATTAACATTTACTCACATAAAGGTTATTTTCAGAATTCAGACTCTAATTAAAACAAATTTTGCACAGTAATCAATTATAATTTGTTAAATTAATGAAATTTATATAAGTTTGATGTTTTAATTATATATTAATCCCTATCCTTGAGATTGATCATGAAGCAAAAATTGCAGGTTTATATAATACCCTTTTCATATTGAAGTTTATAATGTAATCCTATATCAATAATTTGTTTGTACTTTTTCAGTTTCTCTGAAAATATATATTTTGAAAAATTAGATATGCTTGTGGGAAAAAATATTGAAATGAATAAAAAATATGCTACTTTGTGAAATAATAAAAATATGAAATAACACTAGTGGAAGTTGGTGCTGAATTTTAAAAGTTTATTTATTTTTATTGAATTGAATAATTCTACCTGTTTTAAACTTTATTTTAGGAGATAATCAGGAAAATAAATGTATTTTATTATTCAGTTGCTGTCTTTATGCTCTGTAATTTTAATATTAGTTTCAAAATTTGAATTAACTATGAAATACAATGAAATGACATTAAAATACATGTTTTAATAAAAATTATATCATGAAAACTGATGTTACTAAAAGTATAATTTTTTACAATATTTTCGTTGAAATAGTATTTAATATGAACAATTAATGTAAATAAGGCTATTGACTTAACTAATATTTTTCATTATATTTTCCTGTAATTAAATATGTTATGTTATAATAACAATTAAGTTGTTAAATGAATTTTATTTAATCAATGTATAATTATTAGTTTTAGCCATTATAAAATATTTTAATAGAAATTAAATATATTTTAGGAGAAGAAGACTATTTAATTAATTTAATTGATTCTCCTGGACATGTTGATTTTTATGGTGAAGTTTCTACAGCAGTTCGTTTATGTGATGGTGCAATTCTTGTTGTTGATGTTATTGAAGGTGTTTGTGCTCAGGTTAGTAAACAGGAATTTAAATTTTTGTATTATATGTATTCTCTATTACAGATGTATGATGATAATTCATTTGACTGTAAATGAACAAGAAACTAGCATTAAAATATTTTTCATTTCATAACAATAACAAATAGTAATTTTAAGAAAAAATTGATTGCATATTTTACATAATCATTTGAAATAAAATTTTCAGACTTCTAGATATGGTAAAGCTGTATTTGAATTTTTTTAATTTAGATACAACTGTCAAACTGATCAAAGACATTTAGATTATTCAAAAAATGTGCAATTTCTGAATTTATCCTATAGTCCTATTAAAACTATTCTACAATAGATTTTATTACATTATGTTTCATCAAATTGTGTAGGATAAAAAATTCAAGGAGTTTCATAATAATTTTGTTTTTTTAATTAATTGGGATTGTTGTAATGGGATTGCTAAATATTGTCTGTGAGACATTGCTAAATTTAATGTAATAAATAAATAAATAACAATAAATTGATTTCCTGTGTGTTAGAATGTGCAAAAATTGCATATTGAATTTTTTTCAAAGTAAACATTCTAGTCTTGGGAAAAACAATTAAAGTTAGAAAATGTAAAAAAAAATATGTCATTGTCAGTGCTCATTCATCATGTCAGCCATATGATAGATGACAGAGAAAAACACAAACCATGGCTGATAGTATTGCCAAATCAAGAATCACTGCAGTGACTACCCACCAAGTAAAAAAGTCACTGACTGACTATATATACAGAAATCAGAGTTGCTGATTTTGGGGGTTGATTTCTTCACTCTCAAATGTCTAAAGTAATTTTGAATATCTTATTTAAAAGATAATTGCTTTCTTAGGTATTGTGCAAAATTTCAACATTTTCTATAAAGTAGTTGTCGAAATATAAGCAATTAAAACGTGCAAAAATTGCCAAAAAAGCTGTATTTTCTTCTTCTTCACTCGGCACTGTAGATGCTTGTAGCAAAAAACTACTGCGTCTAGAAAGCTCAAATTTTAAACTTAAGCCTTTGTTGTTGTTAGTGAGAGGCTCATGAAACTTTGGGTTCATAGGTCAAAGTCTATGGGGGTTTTCCATAGTGCTATTTTAATTTTATGGCTTAATTTTATAAGGATAAAATTGCACTGAAACAAATGAATTTTATTCAAAATGTTATTCAAATCTAAATAATAAAATCTTAAATTTATGTGAATTAAATCTTTTTATAACTTAACAAATTTTCTATAGGCATATTGAAAGCACCAGTTGGCAGTGCATTTGGTTGGCAACACATTAATTGGTGCTTGGTGACTGCCGAATGAATTGTGCACTATTGTCTTATGTCTTAATGTAATAATACAATTATTAAACAAAAAACAATTGATATCCAAACAAATTGTTGCTTTGGAATATGGTGATTTTCATATGAAAATCACTTTTTTCTTATGAATTTCAATTTTATTTGATTGGTGGAGCACTAAAAAATCTGGACCTTAAACATGACACAAACGGCATTTTAAAATTTGACCTGGGATCAGATATATACATCAGAATTCACAATGTTAAATCTATGAATGAGTGGAGCTTGGTGTTCAGCCCAGATGGGCAAACCTACTGCATTATAAAGCATAGAACAATAAAAGATGTTATAAAATTTATTATGTTAAATATACACTTATTTTTATGGGAATCTATGAAATTTATCAAAAAATATAAATTATATATATATTTTTCATAAACTATAACATTATATGTACTGTACAATATAAATAAGATTTTTTTTTGAAAATATATTTTATAGTATGAAGTTTAAAAAGTTAATTTTTTTAAAATTTAGACTAAAATTGCACTTTGTCAAGCTTGGACTGAAAACATCCGTCCTGTTCTTGTTCTTAATAAAATTGATAGACTCATTTTGGAAAGAAAAATGACACCACTTGATGCATATGTACATTTGCAGCAAGTATTAGAACAAGTAAGTAGTTTTTCATAGTAATTTTATATTTGTTCAAAAACAATGATTAAGATTTTAACATGAAGCAGACATTTTCAATTCTGTATTATAAATTTTTGATGTTTAGAATAAAATAATAACAATGGAACATTTTAAATAAAATATGAAATTTGATTATAATACTTATTATTGAATTATATTATTTTAAAACAACGAAAATTCATTGTAACAAAAGCTATAATTATAAAAAAAATAAAGCATTTTTTAATGTACTTTTTAAAAAATTAATTTAAAATAATTATAAAATTGAAAATTTGTTATAAACAATGCTTTTGCTTTTTATTTTTAATTGTAATCATTATTTTTGCCTTCCTAAACTTATTTATTTATAACTTTTGAATTAAAATGAAAATTTTTGATTTAGGAGAATTATGGTTTATAAACTACAGGGTTTTTTATTAAGAGTGATAGAACTTTAAATTGTCACAGATACTTTAGATTTTATTCAATTGTCAGGATAAGTTTACATATCTGTTTTGTAATGTTTGGCAAATCATCATTAAAAAATTTATGGTTCCTCAATGTGTTTAAATTATTAAAACTTATTATCAACATTCTTGTTTAATTTGATCAATGTTAGTGAATTGAAAGCAGGATGGGGACAAATGATTGGTGTACTTATTGGAAAGACAAACTCTATTGATTGTTATAGGTTTTTCTATTGATGGAAAACTTCTTAGAGAATGTTGAACAATTCAAACAACAGTTGGAACCATACAAGATTCAAAGCAAGTAGTAGTGGCTGGATAAATTTTTAAAAATGCACGGAATAGTTTTTACACTTCTGCACTTCACTACAGATTAAAAGCTGTAGTGAAAGTGCATAGGTGTGAGAAGAGGATTGTGCAAAGTAATTGAGAAGCTTGCCACAAATTTTACAAACAATAGCCCAGATGATGCATTGAATGCAGGCAAATACAGGCATATTTTTAAAATGTCTGCTGGACAAAACAGTAGTGTTTAAAGGGGATTTATGTCACAGAGATAAAAATGCACAGGATGTGTAACTCTTCTTTTTGGAATGGATATGACAGATAATGAAAAACTACTGTTGTTGTTGGAAAATCTTTAAAGCCTTAATGTTTTTACAATGCCAAGAAATTGCCTTTTTTAAAACTGGCTGAAAAAATTAGACACTTACATGATCATTGAAAACAGAAAAAGTTATTTTTTTATTAATATTTACAGTGCACATTTGATGATTTCCACTTTTAAAGTTATAACAGTTCAATTTTTATTACCAAATACAAATGTAGATTGCAACCTTTAGATCAGGAAATTATTCAAAACTTTAAATTATGATACAGCTAGTTTATTGTATAAAAGATGTTGCATTTTATTGAAGATGGATTACATGAGTTTGAAGTAAACCTGCTAGATGCAATGCAAATTATTAACAAAACTTGAAATTTTCATTCCACAAAACACCATTACAAATTGCTTTACAAAACTAGGTTTTGATTAACAATTTGTTCATGCTTTGAATAAATTGAAATCTTCATCAAAATCTGTGAATTATATTGAATAAGACTGGGCTGATTTTATTCCAGCAATGAGTGATGAAAAATTGCCATTCAAAGATTTTGTCAATGTTGACAATGGCCTTGCTGTCTGTAGACACTTATCAGAAGATGGCGTCATTGTTGAAGTAAAGAAATAAGCAATGAAGGACCTATATGCTTTTCCTACATTTAGCCAGAAAGCACTCTAAGAGGCTTTCTAAGTACATCATTCATAAAACAAGATTCTGTTGAAGCATAATATTGTTGAGCAATCATGATAAACACTTGATAAAATTGATGTTAAACTCTTGTAACAGACTTTTTTCATGAGTAGTGGCAATGTTTTGTTACAGGTCTAAAATATAATAAAATATAATGTATTTAAGTATTATGTTTATGATTTCATTAAAATATCGGTAATTTCTGTAATTCAAAATTTCGTTAACTCAAAACTTTTTCTTTGTTCCTTCCACTTTGAGTTATCAAGTCTGCTATATTCTAATGGAATACAGCAGACTTAAATATTTCATTATTTATAAATGTATTAATTCAGTAATTTGAAAAATTCGTTGTAACTAGTCAATTGCAAATTTTAACTCATGAGAACATTTTAAACACTAAGTTATTCCAGTAAGAACTGTAAATAATTAAAAAATATTTTTAGAATAGTTTGATTTTAATTTTGTTTTACTGCATTGTGTATAAATTAAAAAAATATTGTTACATATCAAAACTTTCAAAATTTATTTAAGAATAGATTATTATTGATATTTGTTTATAAATTCATTTTCACAACTTTCTTTTACTTCTGAGTTTTGGAAAAAACAGTAATGTAAAATGTAATACAATCTTTTAAATAAGATAATTAATCTTATTTAAAAGATTGTATTTTTAGCATTGAAATTATATTTGATTTTGAAAAATTATGACTGTATTTATAATACACATGCTGAAAATTTTTAGGTGAATGTTGTAACTGCTGAACTTTTCACTTCTGATATTCTGGAAAAATTTCAAACAGTAAGTAGTTTTTAAGTATTATTATTGAAATGACAATTTAAATTATTATTGAAAGGTTAATTTCAAATTGTACTTTAGATATACAAACAATACTTTTTAGAAATAAACACTGCTGTATATTAGTTTTACTACATCACATCATTATTAATTTATAAATTTAAGTATTTTATGAACTAATATTGATGTGCAAATATAATAATTTTTTTTTGTTAATCTAATTGTAAAAAATTTTTAAAATGTATTAATTTGCTGCTACCAATATAATACATTATGATAACTAATGTAATGACTAATTTTTGTAATCTTCCAATATTGGATGTTGCCAAGTACAAATAAATAATATTTTGGTTTGATTTAAATTAACCAGTTGAAATCCATTAGCTTAGCTTTTATTAAGTAACACCTTGTTTGTCTCTTTCAATCTATTGGTAAACATGGCACAGGCATTAAAATCTAGTGATGATGAACTTTTATTAGCTCATCCGCTATCAGGTTTGTCTCTGACTGCATGTGCAGTAACATGTCAGAGACAAACCTGGTAATAGAAGATAAATAGAGTCAGATCAAAAATGGATTTAGCATTGAGGGAACAAAAAGTATGAATACTTTAGTGGAAGAATTGCATCCTGAACACATCTATCAGAAAACTCATCATCTAAACTCCATTTTTCTCAATTGCTAACAGCTTCAACCATGATTTTGTTTGTGTCACCTGTTTCTCAACAAGATAATCCCAAAATATTATGCAATAAATTCAACTATGCCTATCTATCATTCTTGGTCACTCCAGAAATCTAACTAGACAGATATCTCTATTGTTGTTAGCCACAGATTCTCATTAATGCCATCTAGTTTGCTACTGGTTTTAAGATATATTTTTTTGTTTTAATTTACAATTTATATTAGTCCTATGTAAAAACAATCACATTATTTTTATTACAAATTTTATTTATTTGGATTATCATCATTATTTTATTGACTTAAAGAAAAAAAAAACTACTACTATGTTTGTTTCTTGCAATTTTACTGATCAATTTTATTGATTTGAAGTACAGTAATAATCTTAATAATACCTTAATTTTAATGGAAGCAAAAAAACTAATTGCTTTAATATTTTTAAAAAATATTTTGATATCAGAAACACTTCCATATAAATAGATATAATATCTATGTTTGTGACTATGCCTCTGTTTACAAAAGACTTAAATATAAAATTTTTTTTACAGGAGTCAGTTCTCAATGATAAAGGAGAGAAAAATAGTACAACTGATCAGGTAAAGAATAATTTTCATTATTTTTTATGATCATGAACCAATTTATAGAAACTGTTTCAATTAATATTTCTGCAGTTTTTATGAATAAAGTTGATATCATTATAAAATTAAAAAAAAAATCATTAAAATGAATAACTGATGAATAATAATTATTAATTTTTTGTCTGTAGACATATGATTGGAATAGTGGTATTGATGATACAGATGATTCAACTGTATATTTTTCACCAGAACAAAACAATGTAATATTTGCTAGTGCAATTGATGGATGGGGCTTTGGGTAAGTCAAATGAATTTTTAAGTTTAATTTAGATTAATTATATTTAAATAACAATTTGGCATTTATATTTAAGATTCTTTCAGCAATGAATATAAGTCAAAATATTATATAATTGAATAAATTAAATTGAAAACTAAATTTAAAAAAATTTTTAAAGCATTTAAATAAGTAAATTTTAAAAATTTAGAGATACATTATATACAATGGACAATTATATTATCAATAAAAAATAATTAAATCAAGTAGTTAAAATAATTAAAGCAACTGTTATTTTAGTAACTTTTTATTAATGTCTAATAAAACAATAACAAAATTCAATGGTTCAAATTTCTAATGACTACTACTATAATAATTTCAAATAACTACTGCTTATAACTGAGTTACTTGTAATTATATGTAAAATATTAATAATGATATATTAATATATTTTAAAATATATATTACAAATTTTTAAAACTAATAAAATATTTTGTTAAATGTTTTTTCTCATTACATCACATAATTAATTTTTGTAAAGTGTGCTGCAGAAAAACCTACAAAATTAAGAATTGAAAATAAATCACATTTACCCCTCTTTTATTAATCACTAACATTATCTCAAAAGTTAATAAATAATAATGATGATATTACTGTTACAATTTACGGTAAACAATACAATGACTCTGCATAAGAAAACAGTTTATGTACCATACTATCAACTCTTTTAAAAAAAATAAAAACTCTGGAAAACAACTATACTTGCTTGTATGTCTTTCTACACAGGACAAAAACCAAATAGATTTTAGTGCAAAAATGATAATATCCTTAATTACATCTTGGCTGACAACATATGTATGAATTCAAATAAATAAGCTTTTTTAATATTTTTTCATATTTTCATAATTTCTGTTAACTTTTTTTAAACTGAAGATTGTAAAAGTTATAATAGTTGTCATTAAAACAACTATTATAACTTTTACAATCTTCAATAATCTTGATCATGTAATATTTCTAGGATAATTGATTTCAAAAATTGATGATTTGTTTAATAGTTATCATGAAAATTTTGTCTTCATGGAAGAATTAATTACTAATCAATAAAAAGATTAATAAAGCTGACGTTTTATATTTATTAAATCTTCAGTGTAGCAGTATTTTATGATAAATATATGTTTTGAGTGTAATGATGAAAAAATAATGTCAAAAACTGATAGGTTTAGAACACTTATCAGTTTTTGACATTATTAATTCTAATTTTTGATAAAATTTAAATTGGGGATTTTGATCCTTTAATATGCATGGTCATCTAAAATAATAATATGAAGATTAAATCAACAGATTTCACAATCAATTATTCTACTATTAACACTTGTCATGACTATTTTTATACAGTGATCAATTTTTAGAAATATTTTTAGTAATAAAACTTATTTAGCTTTAAAAATATAATTTTTAAAAATAAAAGACGAGTAAATTAAGACACTCTTTCAAAAACCGACTTCGAGCAATTTGCATTAGCAGACAAACAGTAAATCAACAAAGATACATTACTTTAACCAGGGTTAATTCTTTTATTTTCGTAAATTTCAAATTGTTTTCCAAATGCATTTCGCCGTTACAGCCTCATCAGTGGATAATCAAACAACTAGACACCTGTTCCCTTTTATACAAAGGAACTTTTCCCAGCATGCATCAACGTTTAGACCGACATTCTGATTTAGTAAATTTGCATATTCTATTATACATAAATGTTCTACCACGCGTCTTTTAAACAAATTTTCCATTTTNAGTCGGTTTTTGAAAGAGTGTCTTAATTTACTCGTCTTTTATTTTTAAAAATTATATTTTTAGAAATTTTACCGATCTCATTGTTTTATATTTTATTAACACTTATTTAGCTTTGTTTCTCTTAGCATTTCAAATTTAGAGATTCTTGATTTTTATCAATTAAATATGACATAAGTGCATCTATAATTGAGAACATCATAAATGTGAGAAACTGGGGGCATAGGGGTTCCCTGTTGATCACTTATTTGGCAACAAGTTGGCAACTAAGTGATCAACTCACTTTGTCACTGGATGGCTATTTGCTAAATTGTTGTCGGGATTGCAAGATCCTTTCGATGTCAGGACCTGACATCAGTTAGGATAGTTAATGGTTGCATCCTAACTTGTGAATCGTAAACAAATGTTGAGTAGGAGGGCCAATTCAACTGTTGAGTGGGGAGTGCAATGGGTGAGTTGATAGGGGTCTAAAAGTTGAAAAATGGAGTAGACATATTTAATATATACGGTATAAACCTAGATTACAAGATAACTACGAAACATAACTACAATCTAAGTGTATGCACGGCACTCACAAGGTTCTCGGGAAATCGTTTCCATTCTATCTATGTTTAAGGAGAGAGTTTAGAAGTATTCTGACAAACTACAAATACCTCTGCAAGAGTGAAGTTGTTCTCCATTGCTTGTGAGGCATAGGGTTTTACACCTGGATAATGGCGAGTCTAGCTCTCTCTGGATCCTTAGAGAGAGTCCACTCTGGAATATGGTGAGACTGGAGTCTGGGTTGGAGTCTCTCTGGAATATGGCGAGATTGGAGTCTTGGTTGGAGTCCACTGATGTCCTCCAGAATATGGTGAGACAAGAGGGGGTTGGAGTCCTGGAATATGGCGAGATGGGAGACTGGGTTATATGGTCAAGTCTGCTGGAGTTCGCGCTCCTTTTATCCTTCGTAGGCCTGGGAAAATGATCAGGTGATCAGCTGTTTGGAGACAAAGTTGCAGGTGTGAGGTCATAGGTGAGTTGTTGATGATGCTAAGCTGTTGTTTTTACGTTTTTAAGGAGCAGATAGTATAATATTTGGTACGAAACTTGTTAGATTCATCCTGGTTACTTGTTCAAAGGTTGACTTCCTCTCTTTTAACTATAGATTGTTATAATTTCTTAACAGTTGTTAATGAAAAGGGTGACATTCAATCCTTTTTCTGTGTGATGTTTTCTTAATGATTGTGATGGAGAAATATGTAAAAAATTTCCTTAAAATAGAGCAAACTCAGGTTCTCAATCTCACATCAATAATAGACATAAATTGAATTTTAGTTTATTTTCAATAGTGGACTTCAATAGGTTAATTTCTATGTTAAAGTAATGTACTTCATATTTACATATTTAAATCTTCCTTTTATAATTCATTAAACTTTTAATTTCAGAATTTCTCATTTTGCCAAACTTTATTCAACAAAGCTTGGAATCAAAGAAGATATTTTAAATAAAACATTATGGGGAGACTATTATTTGAATACAAAAACAAAACGAATAATGAAAGGTGCCCAGGTAAATTATCTATGCTAAAAACTGCAAAAAAAACCTATAAAGTAAAAATTTAATACAATTATCTTTAATGATTTGGTGAAGAAAATTTAATTTTAAAATAATTTATAAAATACTCCTCAAACCTTTTAACCAGAGTGCTTCTATTTTTAGAATTGCAAACATTTTCGTCGCCCCTCCTGGGCTCTTCTTCAGGCTTTATCAAATAGGCTGTTACTGTTCAAATAAACATTCGATATGAATTTCTTCCGAACACTATCATGTGAAATCATTCTGTAGTTGTATTGCGCATACTCCATAATCATCTCTTTAAATCAGGGGTGTCCAACCTTTTTGTTTCTCTGGGCCGCATTGGAAGAAGGCAAGGAGGTTTGGGCCACAAGTATATATAATATATACTTGTGGCCGAATATACAAGTATATTTAAGGAATAACATGTGTAGATAATAATAATAAATATTATAACTTTATCAAGAAAAAAAATATGTTAAAAAATTACTTCTACAGACACTTTCAATTTTTACTTAGAAATAGATAAATTCATTTATTGTAAAAGAAACAAACGAAAATTTATTTGAAAAACACAAATATTTGTTTTATTTGTGTCTCTAATTAATAAAAACGACGAACCACCATTTTGAAGTGCATTTTTATTCAATTTATATAATTATAAATAATATGTAACCGAAAAAGTAGCCAAAGCGCCAAATGATATTTTTTACGTCAAACCAAAAAAAGTAGCCACATTTGGCCCAATGTAGCCAAATCTCGCAACGTTGGAAGAAATACTAAATAAAGCTGGAGCTGTGAATCAAAGGATTATAGACCCAAGTGCGGAAAAAAGAGGCAAAAAACAAAAGATAAAGAAGTGAAAAAGGTTGAAAAATTATGGGTCCATATTTGCTTAACAGAAGATCTATTTAACCTTTCTCACTACTACATCTTTTGTCCTTTCTCATCTTTCCCTCCTTTTCCCAAATTTGGGTATATAATTCTTTGAGACACAACTCCAGCTTTATTTAGTAATCCTTCCGCATTCACACATCTCCAAGTATTTGAAATATTTTCTTTCCACTCAAAAATAAAATATGAATAAAGGTTTACGGCTTTGTGAAACTTTTTTTTGAGTTTATGCCATTGAAATAAATAAATAATAAAAAATTAAAACATTTGTAGGTTTTGTTTACACGTTTATTGGGCCGCATTGGAACTTGCCTTGGGCCGCATGCGGCCCGCGGGCTGCGGGTTGGACACCCCTGCTTTAAATGCTGTTATCCAGCAAAATCTACCATGCTACAGATAGGGCCATTTCTTCCTTATAATTAATATGTGTACCATTTATTTCCACCTTAAATATCTCCGTGGCTTCTAGCCATTTTAGTTGTTGTGGGTTGGAGTTGTTTATAATGATTTTCGCCGTGTTCAGATCCGCCGTTATTTCTTGTTTCAAGGCGTATGCTGCTAGTGCTGATCTGTTTCTACCATGCTGTATGTCTGACTCGTATTCTTTTAATCTCGCTTTTAACAAACGCTTTGTGGAACCAATATATGTCAGCTGTCCATGTCACCTGCTGTCTTCTAGCGGTACTATGTATACTCCTGGAAGCCTTTTAGGGTTTGGTAGGTCTTTGCCATTAGTTAGTATCCTGAAGTCAGTTTGAAATCTTCTGTATGCAATATTTATGCCTCGTCATTTAGCTATCATATTATAAATTGATTTCAGTATCAGATTATATGTGATAGGTATCCTCTCTGTTTTTTTCTCAAGTATATTCAAACGTTCACAATTTTAAAAAATAGAAGCACTCTGGTTAAATGGTTTGAGGAGTATTTTATTTATATTTACTGGTGTGTAGAGAGATTGTATTAAAATAATTTATATTTGATATTTTCATTTTATATAATGAATTTATTTTCTGATATATTACATCAAAAATTTAAGAATTTTTAAAACAAGGTATAGTATTTAAATGTAAAATAGTATAATAATTTAATCTAAAATTCAAAATTTCTAACTTAAAGTTTTTAATTTAATTTACACAGTTTTGAAGTACAGTAGACCCCCCCTATAACGCTTAGATACGTTCCACGCTAACCGAAAATTACGTTGTAGGAATGATTAAATACATGAGCCAATCGCAGCCTGATAGGTGGGAACTTTACGGACTAAGGCTGTTCGAAAGGTTTTCTTCTATAAAATTAACCGATTCTAGACTAATTCGACTCAACATTTCCAAAATACGTATAATTTTTTGGGAATAATCCATATAAACTATGCTATAAACAAAAAATTATAGGATTACTTACCGAGTGTGTACCGTTCGACTACGCCCGTTGTTCAAAGCTTGTCTTCGTCGCGGAACAGCACACGAAACGGCGGCCGCGATATCTGATAAATAATTT